TTTGCCCCTGTTTGGGTCATACACCGGCATTGAGACCTCTGTTATCCCTCTTTCAATCATGAAGTCTCGTAATCTTGTTAGTGCCAATATCACGTGTTCGGGATCAATTGTGTTCCTGTCATTGACCCTCGTTACTAGGAAGCACAGATATTTGCTCGGGACTTGTGCCACTGACGGTGGAAGCGCTGCCATCCCTCCCAGTCCTGGTCTCTGTCTGAACAGAAACTCTACATTCTGGTACTCTCTTTTGAAGTCAGCTTCCAATCTTGATTTGAAACTCATGTCCGCCGTGATGCAGATCGCGCTGGTCCTGTTTGACAGGATGAAGTCGCTATCCGTTATCATGATGTTCTCCGAGTATTCATTGGGTATTTCGAATTTCGTTTTGAAATTCCGACCTATAGTAGGCTCTGGCTCTTCTTCCTCCAGTTCCAATTCACTCGTTTCTCTCACTTCCTTGAGCTTCTTTATCATCAAATTTTCGGTGTGGGTAAGTCCTACCCCCACTCCCCGGACAAAAATATTTATCGACGTCCCCGTCGATGTTGTCGGGTCTGAATTGTCCTGAGGAATGTCCAGTGGCCTGTCTGTTGCCGTCCATCCGAAAAGAGGGTCCTCTGTCTTCATGTAATTAGCTGCTGATACATCGACTTGCTGAATGCTTTGTCCTTCGCGGCTCTCGTCTTTGACATCACGCATCCACTCTAGAATCCTCAAGTTCGTGTTCTCCCTCCTCTCTATCTCACTCTGTTCGAGATCCGTTTCTACTTCTGGCGTCGAGTAATCATCCTGCGGATAATGACCACCATCGTCAATGACCTGCCATTCCTCTCCGGCTTCCAGTTCGCCTGCCTTCAGTAATTCCTCGCCCAAATTGTCTGGCTGTATCTTATCGATCAGGAAGTCATCCCCGTACCTGTTGTACCTCATGCCGGTGCGTTTACGATTGCCAGTCCTGGTTTCTGGTGGTGTTGGTCGATCCGGCTCCATCCACTTCGGCACCTCGTCTTGCTCCGGGTCGTTCCAGTCTTCTTCTACAAATGATCCTGCATCAGACCCCACTCCTATCTTTTCATTGTCGTCCAAACTCAAGTTCTCATTACCATCATTTTTCTCTCGAGTACCTTTCTCATTCACTTCACACGCTGGCTCTACCACCAGGTACTCAAGACCCTCCATGTCCTTCGGTATGCACCAATCCTCTGGGGACGGGACGTGAGGCTTCAGATTTTCATAATGTGCCGCTCGCCCAGTACTCAAGCGATAGAACCGTCATTGTTGATGAACCTCCGTTATCATGAATGGTCCCCTCCACTTCTTGAGTAGTTTCTTTGTTCCCTTGGGCGGTATTACATTTTGGAAGAACCACACGTATTGGCCCACTTCATATGGCTTTGCTCTTTATATTTTTTCGTCGTATTTCCTGCGTTGCCTCATTTGCGCTTGCGCCGTGTTCCTCCTGCATAGCTCGTTCAACTCCTGTTGTCTTTTGATCGCTTCTATCACGTATGCCTGAGGCGACGTCCTTTTCCCTTCGCATTCCGGGTAAAAGAATGTCAGAGGCATTGCTCTCTCCCTGCCCGTCAACATCATGAAAGGACTGATGCCCGTCGTTGAGTGCTGTGTACTGTTGTAGGCTCCTACTACCTGTGGCAGGTATTTGTCCCAGTCCGTCATGTATCTTGAGCAGTACACCCTTAACATGTTGACCAGTGTCCTGTTCTGTCTCTCTACCAACCCATTGGTCTGTGGATGATAGGTCGTCGAGTGTGCTTGAGCAATGTGCGATCTCTTCATCAATTCTTTTGTCAAATCCCCCACGAAAGCTTTGCCGTTGTCCGACTGGAAAGTCATTGGACAACCATACCGCGATATCCAATGCGTTATCAAATGATCACATGTCTCTTCGGCCGAGGCTGTCTGGCACGGAACCGCTTCCGCCAACTTTGTGAAGTGATCTATTATAACCAGTATCTGGTTATATCCCGACTCTGTCATGCAGATTTTTTTATGGTCTATCTGCACCACTTCATTGAACTATGAGCTCTCAACGGACTTGAGGGGAAACTTCATCTTCCTTGGGTCTTTTACCTGGAGACATGCCAGGCAGGCATTCACCCATCTCTCGCAAGCTTTTCTCATTCCTGGCCAATCAAACCTGTGAAGTATCCTTTGTTGTACTTTGTCTATCCCCTGGTGGCCCATCTGGTCGTGTGATCTGAAGAGCACCTCTGTCTGGTACAATTGTGGTAGTATGATGAGGTTGTGTTTGTGTAATATCTTTTCCTCATCTCTCCTCTTGCACGCTACCACTCCATCAGCTGTGTGATAAAGTAAGTCTTTCTTTTCTTTGTAGAACTGGCTCAAGATCTTGTAGCTGTCTTCCTCAAGCTCCCCCTTCTCCTTGACCCCCGACTGGATCCATTTGGAGAGGTTACTTGTCATTTTGTCATTCTTCTGGGCTCTTATTAGGTCTGACAGCCTATATCTTGCCTTGACATGCTCCTTTAGCGCCATGATCTGTCCATTCATCTCACCAGGGTTGTGGATGTCATCACTCAGTTTCACGCATATCATCCTTTTCACGATTTTCATGTCATCTTCTGGCACCAGATTCGTTCTGATGTTTGAGTTGCATGATAGTTCCCTGAATGGTTTCCTTGCGACCGCAATTTTCTCAAGTTCCTCACCACCTCGCATCTCCTGTATGTCCATGTTGTATGTTCCTGAAGATGGATCCGTCTGTAACTCCCTGTCGTGGTGCCTTGTCTTCTCTTCCGTCAGTATCATGCACAGACTGTCTTGGTTTTCGCTGCTCTCATCCGAGTCTTCATCCCATCCTTCACGCTCCCCGGACAATTTTCCTTCTCCGGTTCCTTCTTCCGTGAACCTGGAACACTCCCCGGACTCTTGACCTAGTCCCAGGTGTTCATTATCTTCCTTGAATGTCACTTTCTTTTTCCTAACCTTGGTCTGCTCCAGAATGTCTTCGGGGATTTTGTCAACTAGTGACCGCACGACATCTTTGCTGTCAGTGACGCTTCCTCTTGATGAGTCAGTATCGTTCACTGTCTCTTTTCTCCGAAGTATAGTGAATTCCGGTTTCTCTTGACCCTTCTCCTGGATCACGGGCTTATCATCTGATAGTTTCTCGAGCAACCTCATTAAGTCATCATCTATCTGTGCAGTTCCTGCTTCCACCTGGTTAAGATCATAGCCTTTTGCCTTGAGCGTCTCCTTCACGATCTTCGACTTGAGTATAATCTCAATCGGAATCCTCTTGCTCTTCCTCAAGATGGTCTTCTCTGGAGGCTCTTTAGGCAATTCAGGATGATCTTCTATCGGTTTGCCTGACTTGTCCAGCCATCTCGTGAGTGGAAGACTGTCGTACGTTTCCTTGTCCATGAATGAGAAGCCATCTTTGATTTCAGGTCTGTCTGCTTCTCTTTGCTCTTGTCTCTCATAGAACTCCGTCTTCTTACTCAAGTTGTCGGCATTCTGATGTTTATCTCGCGTTCTATGCTCAATTATCATGTTGTATCCGTCCAGGCGAACTATCCACCTCCCAATGTAACTTTGGTCCATTGAGTACGTTTTCAGCCAGCTCAGTGCTCTGTTGTCGACTCGCAACTTGAATGGCTCACTGCCCAGGTATGCCCTGTATTTCTCGACAAAGGTAACCACCGCGAACATCTCAGCTTTCGGTGCTCCGTACTTCATTTCCGTGTCACTCAGGACTTTGCTCCCGTACGCTATTGGTCTCAAGACTGTCTTCCCATTCCATTCTTGTTCTTGGTGGAGAATCCCAGAAATCTTGACTACCGACGCATCCGTGTCCAGCACGTACATCCCTTTCTCAGTCGGCATACCCAGTACTGGTGCCTCACATAGCTCTTTCTTTATCCTCTGGAATGACTCTTCTGCTGCGTTGTTCCACGTGAACTTCTTGCCCTTGTGTCTCATTAATTGTTGCATCGGGTATACCTTGTCTGCATAGCCTTTGATGAACTCTCTATAATAGTTAGCGAAACCCAGGAAGCTCATCAACTGGTGCTCTGTCTTCGGTGATATCCAGGTCAGGACTGCTTCCACGGCGTCCGTATCAGGTCTGATGCCGTGCTTGTCTACCATCCTGCCCAAGTATTTTATTGAGTCCTTGAGTATCTCGCACTTTGATGGTTTGCATTTTAGCCCCGACCTCTTCATGCATGCAAACACTTCGTCTAGTCTCTCAATGTGGTCTTCCAGTGTTGGCGTCGCTATTACCACGTCATCCACGTAGCACAATACCAGGTTGCCATACTTCTTCGTTACGCCTATCAGCGCGTGTGCCATCAACCGCTGAAACGTGGCTGTGGCATTGCAAAGTCCAAACGGCATCCGTTTCCATTGAAACAGACCCAACTCGCAGGCAAACCCTGTCTTGTCCCTGTCCTGCTTCCTTAGTGGTACTTGCCAAAAGGCCGAGCCTAAATCAAGAGTCGTAAAAAATTTTGCATCACCTAACTTCGAGAGGCTCTCATCAATCCTAGGTATGGGATAGGCATCCTTCACCGTGACGGAGTTCAGGTATCGAAAGTCACAACAAAACCTCAACTGGTCGCCTTTCTTTTTGGCCATCACTACTCCACACGCCCACGGTGACTTGGATGGTTCTATCATGTCGTACTCTAGTAACGTCTCGATCTCTTTTCTACACGCGTCCGATTTGTGTGGGGTCATGCGCCTCGCCCCCTCCCTGTGTGGTACCGCGTTTTCCTCAAGTTCTATTTCATGCTCAACGAAATTACAACACCCGATATCCGCCTTATGCCTCGAAAAAACTTCCTCGTTCCGCTCTAGTACGTCCTTGATGGCTTCGAGCTGTTCATCTTTCAGTTTGCCCCTCAAATGTTCAATCTCCGGCAGGACCGGTTTTTCATTTTGCATTTCATCTAGTGTGGGTCGCTCTGGAAAGTTCGAACAGCTCGAAAGACCATCATCCGTTTCTGACTTAAGTGATTTAATAAGACCTGAAGAATCTTTTATTTTCTGCAATCGTCTCAAGATACAAATTTTGTCCCTGTGATTGGGACAATCAACAACTTCATTTTGTTTTGAGTTCTCAATCGTTTCATATCGAGTTTTAACCGATAAAGCATATCCCAGTTTCCTCCCTCTCTGTATCGTGATCGGTATATCAAGGGTATTCAACAAGACACTGACGCAGAGGCCGCTCTTCGTTATCGAGAATGATCTTCCTAAAACAGCAGCACTTTGACTATTAGGATTCGGAACTATACACACCTGCTTGTTGTCACTTAGTTCATTGTAATTTTTCATCCTCAAGCTTACGATTGCCGCTTCATTAGCTTTTAGCCTCACCCTCCTACTCAAGAATACCGGTGCTTTGTTTTCATTTGCCATTATTAAATTTACCGGTTTCATTGCGTACCTCCTATCCGGGTTCCGTATCCTGAACATTGCGTTATTTAGATCAATCGTTACGTCGAAATTCCTGATGAAGTCTCTGCCCAAAATGAATTGGTCAGATTCATCTAGGTTTTCTACTACAAGAAAACTCATCCACAGGTTACGTTCCCCCAGATTGAGCGCTATTATCGGCGTTCTGCCTAACACGCGCAGGGCTCCTTTGTTCGCAGCCGACAACCGTATTCTCGAATCTATCAAGTCATCTTTGTTGAAGCCCATTCGTTCCCAAGTTTCGATTGGTATGACACTCAAGACCGCTCCCGTGTCAAGTAACCCACGTAACTGAGTCTTCTTGCCACTTATGTCTAGCACGTGCCCTGTCACATCTGCCTCTGTCCCAATGTGCATTGCATCTTCTTCAAGCATGGCGCAGTGTCCAATCGATCTCACTTTCAATTCTTCTTTCCCTACGTAGATTTGTCCTATTAGGTCTTCGTCACATGTTATCATCGTCTTGGTATAGATGTTAATCCCATCTATATTTAGCATCACCTCGTGTGGACCATAAGCTTCAGTATATCTGCTATCAACACGTACCGACTTGCTGCCCCCTCTCATGAGTAGTGCTCTCAAGGCTCTAGAAGTCGTTTGTGGGCTTATACAGCTCAAGTAATCTGCGTACACGTCAATGTGCATTATCGTCTGGTCGCTCGGTTCGCTCAAGTTTCTGGTTACCTCGTGGCCGCCCACTGTGATTATCGACATTATTCTAGCCCCAATTTTCGATATGCCGAATGGCTTTCCCGTCACCATTTTTACAGTGTTACAATTCCCCGTCTTTGTTGAGCCCGGTACAGCCTCTGGTGTTTGGTTCGATCCGGTTAATGCTTCGTTGAAATTCTGTCTTTCGATCTCCAGCTTTAGTCGTTGCTCTATTTCTTTTGCAGCCAGATCCTGTTTTACTTTGGCAATTGCTTCCGTCGCCGCTTTCTCATAGTTTATCTCTAGCGAGTTCCCAGCCGCGGACTCTATCGCACCATTAACATGTGTTACAGCTTTCACTGTTTTCGTCGGCAATTCCGTGCTTGGTGCTCCTAAGTTCCTAGATTCAAACTCGTTTTGTCTATTCCGCTGATTCTGCACTGCCGCTAATGCCAACTTATGTTTGGGGTGACTCTGGTCCTTGACCGCTTCCCAGAACAAGGGACAATCCATTCTGAAGTGCCCCTCCTGGTTACAGAAGAAGCATCTTGCGCCTATCTTGATGATTAAGCCACTATAGTACTCGTGTTCCTCCATCTGGCTCATGTCCTCCTCATCTGGTGCATATCCTAGACTCTTCATGCCTTGTTTGTATGTTGTGCAGTCAGCCACGTGGTGATCCGCCGACCCGCAGTTCGCGCATGATCTGCGCTTGTCCATGTCATCTCTAGGCTTGTACCATGACGACCTCTGGGGTTGACTTCCCCCCTGCGTGTTCCTGTTTTCTGTATATTGGTATTTCTTGGGTTTCATCAGCATGTATTCCCTTGATTTCTGTCTCATTTCTTCTGGGGTTGGTGCGCTGTCTTTCGACAATGTGTAGTATGTAGCTAACATTGTCCTTAAGTCATCACTTTTTACCCCATCAATGAACTTCGAGGCAATGCTGAAGTTTCTTCTGTTTGTCGACTCCTCTGGGTCACTCCTTCTTCTCAAGCTCTCGAGATCATCTAGGAACCGATCTATTGACTCGTCGTCCCTCTGCCTTCTCTTTTCAAATCGCATCATCGCTTGGTGACCCTTCATGCCTGACCCGAATCGATTCAGCAATATCTCGAAGATCTTGTCCGCGGTATCGCGTTCTTCTTCTTTCTTTGCAACCACGAATTTCAATGCCGTGCCTTCCAGGTTACTGAGTATGGCTGTGCATGCTTGCCTTTCATCATTTAAGTTATCTTGTTCTAGATGTAATCTCATCACTTCCACCCACGTGTCAATGCATCCATCTGAGTCGTCTTTGAATTCTTTTGGCTTCTTGAAAGTTTTCCTTGATTTTCCGTCTCTCCTATCGCTCGAGTTAGTGTTCCTCGTGGCGAAGGCCTCTAGAGTCCTGTTCATCATCTCCCAAGTACTTGCCCACGTCATGGCATCCGGACCTGCGTTGCTGCTAGCTGTTGAGTCCCCCGGACCACTCGTTGTGTTTGAATTCCCACTTTTCATGATTGTTTTATCAGCCGTTGGTGCTATGCTCACCGTATCCCGGGTTAAGGGCAACGGTGTCGATTGCCGTTTGCCCCTTTGTGGTTCCACAAAGTCAACTCTGGTGCCTTGCGTGCGATCCGCTGCCGGTCTTTCTTGTGAGGTAGAATTTCTCAAGATTGCATCCAATTTCGTCTGTATTGCACATGAACTTTCGGCCTCATTCTGGCTCATTGTGTCCAGCCTCTTTTCCAGGCTACCTATTTGGCTGTTGACATCATCATATCGGTTTTTCAACTGTTGCAAATCTTTTTTGATGTTCCCTTCTCGTTCTTTATTGGTGGCTTCTACCTTATCTGTCATCTCCTTGAGTCTCTCGTCTGTTGCCTTAGCCAGGTTAAAATAACTAACCAGATACTCGTGTTTGTTGTATCTTAATTCTTTTCTTATTACTTCTCTGTCCTCTTCGCTGTGCTTCAGTTTTTTGTCGATCTGATTCAGTTTTGCCATCAAGTCACCTAGCTCAAGAGTAGCCTCTTCATGGTCAGCCGTTGGTCTTTCTTCGGCCGTTGCTTCTGCTTTAGTTTGTTCCTCTCTCGGATTGGCTTCTGTCGTCTTCGTGCTCACTGTCCCAAATGTTCGTGCTCTTTCAGCTTTCGGTTCTTCAGTCACGTTCTCTTTCGTTTTTATTCCGACCATCATCGCCAACCTTTCTGTAAAAGATGTCTTTTTTACGTTAAAGAGTCTTCTTTCACCGTTTCTTCGGTGTTGCATATTGCATCTTCCACATCGTCTATTGGTGAGAACTCTATGGGTTTCGGGTTTGGTTCTTCTGCATTGGGCATTGGAGTTGACTCCGTCGTCTTTTTCTCCAGTTCATCTACGCTCTGGTCTGGTGTCTCTAGGTCGATTTCGATTGTAGGCTCCACCTGTTTTTCCCTCGCATCTTCTCGCGTCTTGCTCTCGGTGCCACTCCTCGTGCTGACCATGCTAACTGAAAAGTTATTTCTTGTTTTGCCTGGGCCCCTTGATGTTGTTCCACGCAGCGACGAGTTATATTTCGTGTTTGATCCACTTGACCTTTTTTCAAGCACTGGTACCCTACTCCGTTTCATTATTCCTATTTACAATTTCCCTTATTTACAATATTATTATATACACAATTCTATTCTAAGAATAAAAAAAATTTTGTGTAAACAAATTCTTAAAAGAAAATATACAACGTGATAAAAACTTTGTTCCAGTTCTCTAAAACCTTCGAGTAACTTTCTTTATTCGTGGTCCCAACCGTACCGGGTTCCAATTAGTCTTGTTCTGTTTTGATTCTGTCTTAAAACAACTTGTTGTAATCTTACTTCAAATTTTATACTGTCCTAAGACTTCCAGTTACCGTCCCTACTCTTCTTCGTACCGTCCCAGGCTTCCTTTTACTGTCCCAAGACTGTTCGGTAATGTCCCAGTACTCCGTCAGTGTCCCCAGACTCTTGTCCAAGACTACTGTCCCAAGGCTAGTGTCCCAAGACTACTGTCCCAAGACTAGTGTCCCAAGACTACTGTCCCAAGACCAGTGTCCCAAGACTACTGTCCCAAGACTAGTGTCCCAAGACTAGTGTCCCAAGACTACTGTCCCAAGACTACTGTCCCAAGACCCTGTCCCAAGACCCTGTCCCAAGACCCTTGTCCCAAGACCCTGTCCCAAGACCCTGTCCCAAGACCCTGTCCCAAGACCCTGTCCCAAGACCCTTGTCCCAAGACCTTGTCCCAAGACCCTGTCCCAAGACCTTGTCCCAAGACCTTGTCCCAAGACCTTGTCCCAAAACCCTGTCCCAAGACCCTGTCCCAAGACCCTTGTCCCAAGACCTTGTCCCAAGACCTTGTCCCAAGACTCTGTCCCAAGACCCTTGTCCCAAGACCCTGTCCCAAGACCTTGTCCCAAGACCACTGTCCCAAGACTGTACTGTCCCAAGACTGTCCCCAGACTGCTCTGTCCTAAGACTTCTTTGGCACTGTCCCAAGACTGTTGACAAGTGTCTGGGTGGTGGGACTTCTTTCCTCTTCGTTATGGGGACTTCTTGATTCACTGTACCTTGTACCACCACTCAAGCTCTAGTAAAATTTTCCCAAAATCCTCTCTTAAAAGCCAAATGCTGACCCCCCTTTTTCTTATTTCTCTTTTTGGCTACCTCTATTTCAATGTTCCAAGTAACTTGAGGCCAAAACCTGTGCGCAGGTATCTTGTGATCACCTGTTCGTACAAAATTTTAACACAAATCCTCACCAAAATGCAACAAAAATCTAAGCAAGAAAAAGTAATAAAAACAGAAAGATGAGCCCACCTAAAATTCAAAGGTGACAAATGTCTACCTTCTATCTAAAAAAATGTCTGGTACCTAATTGTCACGCGTTTCCTTCCCCCC